CACAGATAGGTGAGTACAAATAGGTGAGTACACACACACATCCACACCCACCCACACACACACACACACACACACACACACACATTTAGAAAGAATTTATTATTTATTAGAAAGAATTTTTTCAGTGTCAGAGTAGTTAATAAATGGAATGCACTAGGAAGTGATGTGGTGGAGGCTGACTCCATACACCGTTTCAAATGTAGATATGATAGAGCCCATTAGGCTCAGGAATCTGTACACCAGTTGATTGACAGTTGAGAGGCGGGACCAAAGAGCCAAAGCTCAACCCCCGCAAGCACAATTAGGTGAGTACAATTAGGTGAGTACACACACACACACACACCCACACACACACACACACACACAGCCCCCAGTAGCCCCCCAAGCACCCCTCCTGAACTCTTTCACCCCCCATACACCCCCGGACACCCCCAGACACCCCGCGGATCCCCCCGGACATCCCCCGGACCCTCCCCGCCCCCAGTCATCCCCCAGACACCCCCCAGATCCCCCAGATCCCCCTTGCCCCCAGTCACCCCCCAGACATCCCCCAGATCCCCCCAGACCCCCAGAGAAAGGGAGAACTCTGGTACAAGAGTTTCCATGAAGAATCTCAAGGTTTGGTCTCAAGCAGAAGAGATAAAAAAAAGAGTGAGTGAAGCAGATCCTGACATAGTTGCAATTGTGGAAACTAAAATTAATGACATGATCTCAGATGCAATCTTTCCTGAAGGGTACCAGGTGATACGAAAAGAGAGGATACAGAGACAGGGAGGGGGAGTAGCACTCCTAATAAAGCGGAAATGGAAGTTTGAAGACCTGGGAAATCGAGTTACCAATGAGTGCACAAGCTTCATACATGGAACTCTGACAGTAGATGGGAGGAAGATTGTGATCTTGGTAATCTACAATCCCCCACCAAACAGTAGAAGACCCAGGCAGGAGTATGATGACAACAACAAAGCATGTATAGATGAACTGCAGAAGGCAGCAACACTAGCCCACAGAATGAGAGCGGAGCTGCTGATCATGGGGGACCTAAATCATGGAGAGATAAATTGGGAATCAAGGAATCCCCATGGAGGGGACGAAACGTGGGGAGCAAAATTAGTAGATGCAGGCGATGAGTCACAATAACGTGGCTGAAGTATGTTGACCAGACAACACACTAGAAATTGAAGGGACGACGACGTTTCGGTCCGTCCTGGACCATTCTCAAGTCGATTGTGAGAAGTCGATTTCATTCACAATCGACTTGAGAATGGTCCAGGACGGACCGAAACGTCGTCGTCCCTTCAATTTCTAGTGTGTGGTCTGGTCAACAAAATTAGTAGATGTTATAGACAGGAATTTCCTGACACAACATGTGAAGGAAGACACAAGGGAAAGAGGAGGAGATGCAACGAGCCTATTAGACCTGATTTTCACCCAGAACGTAGAAGATATCGAGAATTTAGAGCATGAAATACCTCTAGGGGCCAGTGACCATTGTGTCCTAGTCTCTGACTACATGTTGGAATTCAAAATTATGACCATGGGACAAGAGATCTGGGAAAGGAGAGCTGACTACAGGAAAGGGGACTATATGAGGATAAGGGACTATCTGGGTGAAGTGCAGTGGGAGGAAGAAATTAGAGGAAAAACAGTCCAAGATATGATGGACCTAGTCATACAGAAATGCCAGGAGGCCGAAGAGAGATTTATACCAACGGTAAAGGGAAAAAATAAGAAGGAATATAATAACCCATGGTTTAATAGACAGTGTCAGGAAGCAAAAATGGCCAGCAGACGGGAGTGGAGGAAGTACAGAAAACAAAGAACAGAGGACAACAGAAACAGATACAACAGAGCTAGGAACGATTACATTAACATAAGACGAACATCGGAAAGGGACTATGAGAACGATATTGCAATCAAAGCGAAAAAACAACCTAAGTTACTACACAGTCATATTAGAAGAAAAATGTCGGTGAACGACCAAGTGACAAGACTAAGGAAGACAGAGGGGGCATATACTGAAAGTGACAAGGAAATCTGCGAGGCACTGAATGCCAGTTTCCATGGAGTGTTCACTACCGAGCCTGAGCAGCTCCCATTGTTGGAAGGGGTTACCCTAGATGAAAGACTATCAGATATAGAGGTGACAGCAGAGGAGGTAATGAAACAGTTGACAACTCTAGATGCAACTAAAGCAGTTGGACCAGACAAAGTATCACCGTGGATACTAAAAGAAGCAGCACAGGCCCTCAGCGTGCCTCTGGCAATGATCTTTAATGAGTCACTTATGTCAGGAGAATTGCCCAGTTGCTGGAAGAAGGCAAATGTCGTGCCGATCTTCAAGAAAGGTGATAGGGAGGAGGCACTTAACTATAGACCTGTATCACTGACAAGCATCCCCTGTAAAATACTGGAAAGAATAATTAGGCTACGACTGGTTGCACACCTGGAGAACATTAGGTTTGTGAACAAACATCAACATGGGTTCTGGACAGGGAAATCGTGCCTAACAAACCTTCTGGAATTCTATGATAAAATAACGAGGATAAGACAGGACAGAGATGGTTGGGCAGACTGCATATTTCTGGACTGCCAAAAAGCCTTTGATACAGTACCGCACATGAGACTGCTGTTCAAGCTCGAGAGGCAGGCGGGGGTGGGGGGAAAGGTCCTAGCATGGATAAGGAACTACCTAACAGGAAGGAGCCAAAGAGTTACGGTAAGGGGCGAGAAGTCGGACTGGCGAACAGTAACAAGTGGAGTACCACAAGGATCGGTGCTGGGACCAATTCTATTTCTTGTATATGTTAACGACATGTTTACAGGCGTAGAGTCCTACATGTCGATGTTTGCGGATGATGCAAAGTTGATGAGAAGAGTTGTGACAGATGAGGATTGCAGGATCCTCCAAGAGGACCTGAACAGATTGCAGAGATGGTCAGAGAAATGGCTACTAGAATTCAACACGAGCAAATGTAAAGTTATGGAGATGGGACTAGGAGATAGGAGACCAAAGGGACAGTACACAATGAAGGGGAACAGCCTACCTGTAACGACGCGTGAAAGAGACCTGGGGGTGGACGTAACACCTAATCTATCTCCTGAGGCACATATTAATAGGATAACGACAGCAGCGTACTCTACACTGGCAAAAGTTAGAACATCATTCAGAAACCTAAGTAAGGAGGCATTTAGGGCGCTTTACATTGTCTACGTAAGGCCAGTCTTAGAGTATGCCGCCTCATCATGGAGTCCCCATCTGAAGAAGCATATAATGAAACTGGAAAAGGTTCAGAGGTTTGCAACGAGACTCGTCCCAGAGCTACGAGGGATGGGGTATAAGGAACGCCTGAGGGAACTGTGCCTTACGACACTAGAAAGAAGAAGGGAGAGGGGGACATGATAGGAACGTATAAGATACTCAGAGGAATTGACAGAGTGGACATAGACGAAATGTTCACACGGAATAGTAACAGAACGAGAGGACATGGATGGAAGCTTGAAACTCAGATGAGTCACAGAGATGTTAGGAAGTTTTCTTTTAGCGTGAGAGTAGTGGGGAAATGGAATGCACTTCAGGAACAGGTTGTGGAAGCAAATACTATTCATAATTTTAAAACCAGGTATGATAGGGAAATGGGACAGGAGTCATTGCTGTAAACAACCGATGCTCGAAAGGCGGGATCCAAGAGTCAATGCTCGATCCTGCAGACATAACTAGGTGAGTACAACTAGGTGAGTACTCACACACACACACACACACACACACAGATGAAATATCAGACAGGAACGCCAGGTGGCTGGAAATTGCAACTGCGCGGGAAAAAAAGGTCAGAATTCATACATAGGAAAAAATAACCTGATTCATCTGAAAATTCCCGGGTGAATATTGCTGGATGGAACCCAGACTAGGAGGAGGAGGAGGAGAATAAGCGCCAATATCATACACACCAGAAATGAAAGCGAAAATGTCATAGAAATAAAACAATATAAATATATATATATATATATATATATATATATATATATATATATATATATATATATATATATATATATATATATATATATATATATATATATATATATATGTATACTCCATATATAAGAATCATAACCAACTTCAATTATATAAATTATACAAATTCTGGTCCACTATGAAACAAACCAGCGATAAACCAACTCTAAATATATTAATTATGATTACGTAATTGGAATAAGAAATATATTTCGTTTAAATTGTCTCAATAATAGATATATAATGTAGTAGATGTGGGTCTCTAATTACACTCCATTTCTCAGATTTATATTTATTAAAGGTTGCAGAGTCCCCCCCCCCCCACTAATGCATCAGGCTGACCATCAGAGTTAATGTGGTCGAGAAATAACCTCATATGTTATTTTAGTACCAATTTCAAACCTTATGAACTGAATGAGGCTGGACAAATCACACATTTTAATATAACAAATTCACTTAAAAGGCCTTAGGTGACCTAAATTGGCCCTGGTTTAGAGGCGACCTAAATTGGCATTGGTCTGGAGGTGACCTAAATTGGCCCTAGTCTGGAGGTGACCTAAATTGGCCCTGGTCTGGAGGTGACCTAAATTGGCCCTGGTCTGAAAGTGACCTGAACCACCCAGGTGGGAAAATGACCTAAACAGTCGTGGTGTGAAAGTGACCATACATGTTTTCCAAGAATGCCAGTACTCACATGTATATCACATTCACTCGAAGTTTACTCACCAGACACTGGTGAGTACCCGCCTGAAAACGAATCCTCACCCGAGCACAATACGCTAAAACATCAGACACGAAATTGTACTAATTATCTCAACGAATTTCCGTCAAAATATCACGACAGTGAAGAGGGGGTTTAGACCCCCCAAAAAACTAATATTTTCGTCTAAACAACTTGATCATATAAAGAATAATTCAGAGAGAGAAATACAAAAATTTTGCCAAGAAATTCCGAATTGTTAGAACCGGCCAAAAAACGGGATATATGGAACCAGAGAAAAATCCTATTGGAGAACCCGTCAGAGGTGAGAGTGAAGACTACATCTGAGGCCTCCAGCTAAGAGAAGATGGCTCACAGCCTCAATATCCAGCCGTGAGAGGAAGACAGAGATGGGGGAGGAAGAAAGAGAGGAATGAGAGGGGGGGGAGAGAGAGAGAGAGAGAGAGAGAGAGAGAGAGAGAGAGAGAGAGAGAGAGAGAGAGAGAGAGAGAGAGAGAGAGAGAGAGAGAGAGAGAGAGAGAGAGAGAGAGAGAGAGAGAGAGAGAGAGGGGCAGGCAGACAGACAGATAGATTTCATCAAGGAGAACTGATATAGAGAAAAAATAAGTCAGCTGGTCTCAGTAACTCAGGTGGTGTGTGGAACCAGCACAGAGTACATGTGCCCCTCCAGAACAGGTGCATCAGCACCTAGAGTGCGTGTGGCAGACCTAGACTGAGTGCTCCAACTCCTAATATGAGTACGAGAACTCTTGAGTGTGTTAGAGCCAGGAGCCAAGTGTATGCTGGCTCCTCACACCACCTACTGTGAGTGTGTCGCCACTCGAGTGAATAGTACAGTTCTGAGTGCGTGTATATGCTACCCTCCTTAACCTTTGAGGCTGACACACTCACACTCAAGGGCCGAGTGTGACCTTGGAATTCCCAAGTGTCGGGACCCGTGATTTCTTTGACACAGGTGCACCGCTGGCGCCGGTAGCCGTATGGGCAGAACGCTGGACACGTAATCCTGTGGCCCGGGTTCGATTCCCGGCGCCGGCGAGAAACTAAATGGGCAGAGTTTCTTTCACCCTGATGCTCCGGTTACCTAGCAGTAAATAGGTACCTGGAAATTAGACGGCTGTTACGGGCTGCTTCCTGTGTGTGTGTGTGTGTGTGTGTGTGTGTACTCACCTAGTTGTGTCTGCAGGATCGAGCATTGACTCTTGGATCCCGCCTTTCGAGCATCGGTTGTTTACAGCAATGACTCCTGTCCCATTTCCCTATCATACCTGGTTTTAAAATTATGAATAGTATTTGCTTCCATAACCTGTTCCTGAAGTGCATTCCATTTCCCCACTACTCTCACGCTAAAAGAAAACTTCCTAACATCTCTGTGACTCATCTGAGTTTCAAGCTTCCATCCATGTCCTCTCGTTCGGTTACTATTCCGTGTGAACATTTCGTCTATGTCCACTCTGTCAATCCCTCTGAGTATCTTATACGTTCCTATCATGTCCCCCCTCTCCCTTCTTCTTTCTAGTGTCGTAAGGCACAGTTCCCTCAGGCGCTCCTCATACCCCATCCCTCGTAGCTCTGGGACGAGTCTCGTTGCAAACCTCTGAGCCTTTTCCAGTTTCATTATATGCTTCTTCAGATGGGGACTCCATGATGAGGCGGCATACTCTAAGACTGGCCTCACGTAGGAAGTGTAAAGCGCCCTAAGTAAGCGTCCTTACTTAGGTTTCTGAATGATGTTCTAACTTTTGCCAGTGTAGAGTACGCTGCTGTCGTTATCCTATTAATATGTGCCTCAGGAGATAGATTAGGTGTTACGTCCACCCCCAGGTCTCTTTCACGCGTCGTTACAGGTAGGCTGTTCCCCTTCATTGTGTACTGTCCCTTTGGTCTCCTATCTCCTATTCCCATTTCCATAACTTTACATTTGCTCGTGTTGAATTCTAGTAGCCATTTCTCTGACCATCTCTGCAATCTGTTCAGGTCCTCTTGGAGGATCCTGCAATCCTCATCTGTCACAACTCTTCTCATCAACTTTGCATCATCCGCAAACATCGACATGTAGGACTCTACGCCTGTAAACATGTCGTTAACATATACAAGAAATAGAATTGGTCCCAGCACCGATCCTTGTGGTACTCCACTTGTTACTGTTCGCCAGTCCGACTTCTCGCCCCTTACCGTAACTCTTTGGCTCCTTCCTGTTAGGTAGTTCCTTATCCATGCTAGGACCTTTCCCCCCACCCCCGCCTGCCTCTCGAGCTTGAACAGCAGTCTCATGTGCGGTACTGTATCAAAGGCTTTTTGGCAGTCCAGAAAAATGCAGTCTGCCCAACCATCTCTGTCCTGTCTTATCCTCGTTATTTTATCATAGAATTCCAGAAGGTTTGTTAGGCATGATTTCCCTGTCCAGAACCCATGTTGATGTTTGTTCACAAACCTAATGTTCTCCAGGTGTGCAACCAGTCGTAGCCTAATTATTCTTTCCAGTATTTTACAGGGGATGCTTGTCAGTGATACAGGTCTATAGTTAAGTGCCTCCTCCCTATCACCTTTCTTGAAGATCGGCACGACATTTGCCTTCTTCCAGCAACTGGGCAATTCTCCTGACATAAGTGACTCATTAAAGATCATTGCCAGAGGCACGCTGAGGGCCTGTGCTGCTTCTTTTAGTATCAACGGTGATACTTGTCTGGTCCAACTGCTTTAGTTGCATCTAGAGTTGTCAACTGTTTCATTACCTCCTCTGCTGTCACCTCTATATCTGATAGTCTTTCATCTAGGGTAACCCCTTCCAACAATGGGAGCTGCTCAGGCTCGGTAGTGAACACTCCATGGAAACTGGCATTCAGTGCCTCGCAGATTTCCTTGTCACTTTCAGTATATGCCCCCTCTGTCTTCCTTAGTCTTGTCACTTGGTCGTTCACCGACATTTTTCTTCTTATATGACTGTGTAGTAACTTAGGTTGTTTTTTCGCTTTGATTGCAATATCGTTCTCATAGTCCCTTTCCGATGTTCGTCTTATGTTAATGTAATCGTTGTGTGTGTGTGTGTGTGTGTGTGTGTGTGTGTGTGTGTGTGTGTGTGTGTGTGTGTGTGTGTGTGTGTGTGTGTGTGTGTGTGTGTGTGTGTGTGTGTGTGTGTGTGTGTGTGTGTGTGTGTGTGTGTGTGTGTGTGTGTGTGTGAAAAAATTAGTTAGTAGTAGTTAGTAACAGTTGAAAGGCGGGCCGAAAGAGCGGAGCTCAACCCCTGCAAGCACAACTAGGTGAATACAACTAGGTGAATACAACTAGGTAAATACAACTAGGTGAATACAACTAGGTGAATACAACTAGGTGAATACAACTAGGTGAATACAACTAGGTGAATACAACTAGGTGAATACAACTAGGTGAATACAACTAGGGGAATACAACTAGGTGAATACAACTAGGGGAATACAACTAGGTGAATACAACTAGGTGAATACAACTAGGGGAATACAACTAGGGGAATACAACTAGGTGAATACAACTAGGTGAATACAACTAGGTGAATACAACTAGGTGAATACAACTACGTGAATACAACTACGTGAATACAATTCATTCACGATGAAAATTTCACTCAATGTATGAAAACAAATCCATGTAGTATGAAGGAAAACGTTTTACACATAACAACATGAAACAGATGAACTGCCCATATAATAACTATCATCGAAGCTTCAGCTTTGATCACTCCCAAAGCTAAAGATGATCAATGGAAATAACTGCACCATTTTACGCTGCGTGATTAGCACGCCATGAGATTAATTATTCAATTTACAATTTAACAATCAATGTACAATTTAACAATCGGGTCATGAATTACCCTCGACCCTTATATTGGGCAGCAAGTCCGGGCTTCAGTCGGAGTGGGTTTTATAAGTCCATTAAAGGCCCAAGCTGACCATAAGCTTTATACACAAACATTTTGGACTTGATCCTGCCATCTGTCGGCAGTCTTCAACACTAGAGAACATAAACATAGGAAGGGGCTATGTTCAAGTATTAAGAGGTGGAGAAGGAGAGAGGGGAGAGAGGGTCATAAGGAGCAGAGAGTAAGGGGAAGAGACGGCCAGAGGGGAAGTAAAGCAGAGATGGAGAAAGGGAAAATGGGAGAGAGGAAAAAGTTGAGAGAGAAAGATTGGAGAAGAGACAGACAGAAAGGAACAGGAGCTGAGCATCCAAGATCAAGAAACACAGCCTTTCCAGATTAAATCTCACCGCAACACATTCCCCAATCCGTAAAAAAACGCGACTGTTTTTCCCTAACCAGAAGCGGACGAACCCAACCAACCCTCCTAACCATTCGAGGCCCAAGCTCGGAAGAAAACAATAATATTACACCGCTTCAAATTTTTGCTAATACTTCAGATTTTTTTTAACAGAAAAACGCGATATATGCAAGGTGAGACAGCGGCTGGTCGCTAGGTCCTGCTCCACCTCAACAGGTGGTCCAGTAACACCTAACACCACTCTGAAATTGGGGCGAAATTGTGAGAAACGGGAAAAAGAAACTGGAGAGGAATTGTGAGAATCAGGAAATACCAAATATAATCCTGTGTACTCACAGGATTACTGTGTACTGTGACCTGTTACACGGGAGTACAGCGTACTGTGACCTGTTACACAGGAGTACTGTGTACTGTGACCTGTTACACGGGAGTACAGCGTACTGTGACCTGGTACACGGGAGTACTGTGTACTAACCTGGTACCCAGGACTGGTCGGCGCGCTGTGTATAGTGCGTCGTCTAAGGTATTAATCATACAGAACACAGCCTAGGTATACTCCAAATTCCCTACCTACACGGCAGAAGAAATAATCATACAGAGCGAGGAGTCTTGACTATACAATGGGAGTCATAATCATACAGTGAGATTTATAGTCATACAATAGATGTTCAAAGTATATACAAACACCATAAAAGCACCGCGTGTATGCACATACACCATACGAGTACCGTGTATATGAACATACACCGAAGTGCCTAAAGTTTTTTGTCATATTTAATGTTCTCACCCTCAAAAAATCATTTCACTATTAGTAGGAACAATGCTGGCGAAACCTAGATGAAACAGAATAATATTTAGTGGTTGCTGAATAGCATCACATTTTCTCTCAGTTTATGTATGTTATTGCCATAGTCATCCTTAAAACATCACCTTGAACCATAGAAAATGGGACATTTGGTTCTTTCGCAAACCGTCAATCAAAATACCATTTTGATTTTGACAATTGTCATGTAATGTCACGGTGAACCCTCAATAGATTCTTCTATATCAGCGTAGTTTATTATGGCATGAATCACCAAAAACCTTCATGCCAAAGTGGCACCCCAGGAAAGGCCTAAAGCACCTGTGTACCTGTGCATGCGGTGTACCTGTATATGTGGTGTACTTGTGCATGTGGTGTACCTGTGTATGTGGTGTACTTGTGCATGTGGTGTAATTGTGTATGTGGTGTACCTGTGCATGTGGTGTACCTGTGCATGTGGTTGACCTATGCACCTGCGTACCTGTGCATGTGGTGGACCTATGCACCTCTGTACCTGTGCATTTGGTGTACCTGTGCACCTGAACTCACCAAATTGTGCTTGCGGGGGTTGAGCTCGGGCTCAGCACCTGTGCATCTGGTGTACCTGTCCACCTGTGTACCTGTAAGAGTGAGTACTGGTAATTATTTGTGTACACATTGAGTCCCATTTTGTGGTGCTTCATTGCACAGCCAGCATGGCTGGTGGCGGGTCTTGACTCTGGTTGGTGAGCCCAGACAGAGACGCCACTCAGAGTGCCAGTCAGGACCGAGTATACATGTTTGTGAATGTTATTCCAACATAGGTCAGTCTACGTGGTATACTGTGCATGCAAGTTAATGTCTCGAGCATCAATGTTGAGCTCCAAAGCTCATACGACAAGAGCTCCTTAAGCACACGGCAGTGGTGCTAGGCAGTCGTTATAGCTGAGGTGGTCATTGTACCAGTGTTAAGGTTGGGTTACGACACCCGAGGTCAGTCAGCAAGTGACAGTACTCTGCTGTGATTTGCCTTCGACCTCTCGTAAAGTAGAACATAATCCCATTTCCATTTGTAAATATATTTTCGTTTTATGTTTAATAAATATGTTAAACACCTGGTGTTCTCAGGTGTTCTCCCTCGATAGTGTAAACAATATAGGTGCTGAGTCGGTCCCATAAAAGGATCCACCACCTTTATTACCCAAATGAAAATAAATTTGATGAACCGATTACTGTTTGACCAGACCACAAGTGAAGGAGTTTTGCAATCCCCTGAGAGCCAGTGCTGTAGCCAGTGCTGTAGCCAGTGCTGTAGCCAGTGCTGTACCCAGTGCTGAAGCCAGTGCTGTACCCAGTGCTGTAGCCAGTGCTGAAGCCAGTGCTGTAGCCAGTGCTGTAGCCAGTGCTGTACCCAGTGCTGTACCCAGTGCTGTACCCAGTGCTGTAGCCAGTGCTGTAGCCAGTGCTGTAGCCAGTGCTGTAGCCAGTGCTGTAGCCAGTGCTGTACCCAGTGCTGTACCCAGTGCTGTAGCCAGTGCTGTAGCCAGTGCTGAAGCCAGTGCTGTAGCCAGTGCTGTAGCCAGTGCTGTAGCCAGTGCTGTAGCCAGTGCTGTACCCAGTGCTGTACCCAGTGCTGTAGCCAGTGCTGTAGCCAGTGCTGTAGCCAGTGCTGTAGCCAGTGCTGAAGCCAGTGCTGTAGCCAGTGCTGTAGCCAGTGCTGTAGCCAGTGCTGTAGCCAGTGCTGAAGCCAGTGCTGAAGCCAGTGCTGCAGCCAGTGCTGTAGCCAGTGCTGAAGCCAGTGCTGTAGCCAGTGCTGTAGCCAGTGCTGTACCCAGTGCTGAAGCCAGTGCTGTACCCAGTGCTGTACCCAGTGCTGTACCCAGTGCTGTAGCCAGTGCTGTAGCCAGTGCTGTAGCCAGTGCTGTAGCCAGTGCTGTAGCCAGTGCTGTACCCAGTGCTGTACCCAGTGCTGTACCCAGTGCTGTAGCCAGTGCTGTAGCCAGTGCTGAAGCCAGTGCTGTAGCCAGTGCTGTAGCCAGTGCTGTAGCCAGTGCTGTAGCCAGTGCTGTACCCAGTGCTGTACCCAGTGCTGTAGCCAGTGCTGTAGCCAGTGCTGTAGCCAGTGCTGTAGCCAGTGCTGAAGCCAGTGCTGTAGCCAGTGCTGTAGCCAGTGCTGTAGCCAGTGCTGTAGCCAGTGCTGAAGCCAGTGCTGAAGCCAGTGCTGCAGCCAGTGCTGTAGCCAGTGCTGAAGCCAGTGCTGTAGCCAGTGCTGTAGCCAGTGCTGTACCCAGTGCTGAAGCCAGTGCTGAAGCCAGTGCTGAAGCCAGTGCTGTAGCCAGTGCTGTACCCAGTGCTGAAGCCAGTGCTGTAGCCAGTGCTGTAGCCAGTGCTGTAGCCAGTGCTGTAGCCAGTGCTGTAGCCAGTGCTGAAGCCAGTGCTGTACCCAGTGCTGAAGCCAGTGCTGTAGCCAGTGCTGTAGCCAGTGCTGTAGCCAGTGCTGAAGCCAGGGAGGGATTACCAATTGAAGACTTGTTCTACGTCCAGGATGTGCACAGATCTCCACTGTAGAGATCTGTGTGTGATGCTGGCCAGACCACACACTAGAAGGTGAAGGGTCGACGACGTTCCGGTCTGTCCTGGACCATTCTCAAGTCGATTGTGCTTGACTACTTCAGCCACGTTATTGTGACTCATCGCCTGCAACCGATTACTGTGTTTTCTCTGGATCACCAGGAGGGGATCAGATACGACCTTGAGCTGACCAGAGCTCCTCAGGATCTGGTGTCGTTGGCTTGAGGCATTTTACGTTATTGATAACAAGTGTTAGAGGCTTGTAAGTCAGCCCTAGCCCAGGTGGGCACCGTAGGACTACATCCTTCAAGTAAAGTCAAACATTCCTTATTTACTTTTTCACTTATTTACTTATTTATCATAATTACTTTTACAATTATAAATGGAGTTTGCTTCATCAATTTGCTCCTTTAGTTCATTCCATTTGTTCACTACTTTTACGCTAAAAGAAAACATTCTAATATCTCTGTGATTCAGCTGAGTCTCAAGCCTCCATCCATGTCCTTTTGGTCTACTGGTATACATTGTGAACATTTCCTCTTCTTCCACTTTGTCAATCCCGCTAAGTATTTTATAGGCCTCTATCAAGTCTCACCTCTCTTTCTCCTCTTTTCTAGTGTCGTCATATTTAGTTCTTTCAGTCTCTCTTCACACCCCATTGTCACCAATTGTGGGACGAGCCACGTTGCAAACTTCTGAAACTTTTCGAGTTTGCTTATGTGTTTCTTTGGATGGGGCCTCCATGATGGGGCGTCACACTCTAAAACTAGTTTCCTCCTAGGCGGTGTACCTCCTAGGCGGTGCACCTCCTAGGCGGTGTACCTCCTAGGCGGTGCACCTCCTAGGCGGTGTACCTCCTAGGCGGTGCACCTCCTAGGCGGTGTACCTCCTAGGTGGAGTACCTTCTAGGCGGAGTACCTCCTAGGCTCTGTTTATAAGAGCCTCAGGAGTTAGGGTTGACGTAACGTCCACTCCAAGACCTTTTTCTCCAGCCGTTATAGGGAGGTATAATTCCCCTTCATCTGTCCCTTCAGTCACCATTTCCAATTTCCATCACCAGACTGTAATGAGTGATTATGAGGCGGTGAGGGTCTGGTCTAATAAAGAATGGGTGAGAGATAAAGAGGGGCTGTGAGGCAGAGCTGACCTGAGATGCTGAGATGGACCATGAGAGGGAGACTAGCTGAGAGACAGAGAGGAGCTGAGAGACAGCCAGGGATCTCAATCCCAGGCTGCCTCTCAGCCAGCTTGCGGGGGTTGAGCTCTGGCTCTTTGGTCCCGCCTCTCAACCGTCAATCAACTGTTGTACAGATTCCTGAACCTACTGAGCTCTATCATATATATATTCGAAACTGTGTATGGAGTCAGCCTCCACCACATCACTTCCTAGTGCATTCCATTTATTAACTACTCTGTCACTGAAAAAGTTCTTTCTAATGTCTTGTTGCTCATTTGGGTACTCAGCTTCCACCTGTGTCCCCTTGTGCGTGTGCCACCCGTGTTAAATAATCCATCCTTGTCTACCCGGTCAATTCCCTTAATAATTTTGTATATGGTGATCAAGTCTGCCCGAACTCTTCTGTCTTCCAGTGACGTGAGGTGCAGTCCCTCACCCTTCCTCATAACTCATGCCTCTTCGTTCTGAGACTAGCCTAGTGGCATACCTCTGAACTTTTTCTAGCTTTGTCTTCTGTTTGACAAGGTACGGGCTCCATGCTGGGGCCGCATACTTCAGGATTGGCCTTATATATGTGGTATATGTTGTATACGTGGTGTGTGTACTCACCTAGTTGTGTTTGCGGGGGTTGAGCTCTGGCTCTTTGGTCCCGCCTCTCAACCGTCAATCAACAGGTGTACAGATTCCTGAGCCTATTGGGCTCTATCATATCTACACTTGAAACTGTGTATGGAGTCAGCCTCCACCACATCACTTCCTAATGCATTCCATTTGTCAACCACTCTGACATTAAAAAAGTTGTTTCTAATATCTCTGTGGCTCATTTGGGCACTCAGTTTCCACCTGTGTCCCCTTGTGCGTGTTCCCCTTGTGTTAAATAGCCTGTCTTTATCTACCCTATCAATTCCCTTCAGAATCTTGAATGTGGTGATCATGTCCCCCCTAACTCTTCTGTCTTCCAGTGAAGTGAGGTTTAATTCCCGTTGTCTCTCCTCGTAGCTCATACCTCTCAGCTCGGGTGGCAAACCTATGAACCTTTTCCAGTTTAGTCTTATCCTTGACTAGATATGGACTCCATGCTGGGGCTGCATACTCCAGGATTGGCCTGACATATGTGGTATACAAAGTTCTGAATGATTCTTTACACAAGTTTCTGAATGCCGTTCGTATGTTGGCCAGCCTGGCATATGCCGCTGATATTATCCGCTTGATATGTGCTGCAGGAGACAGGTCTAGCGTGATATCAACCCACAAGTCTTTTTCCTTCTCTGACTCCTGAAGAATTTCCTCTCCCAGATGATACCTTGTATCTGGCCTCCTGCTCCCTACACCTATCTTCATTACATTGCATTTGGTTGGGTTAAACTCTAACAACCATTTGTTCGACCATTCCTTCAGCTTGTCTAGGTCTTCTTGAAGCCTCAAACAGTCCTCTTCTGTTTTAATCCTTCTCATAATTTTAGCATCGTCCGCAAACATTGAGAGAAATGAATCGATACCCTCCGGGAGATCATTTACATATATCAGAAACAAGATAGAACCGAGTACAGAGCCCTGTGGGACTCCACTGGTGACTTCACGCCAATCGGAGGTCTCACCCCTCACCGTAACTCTCTGCTTCCTATTGCTTAGATACTCCCTTATCCACTGGAGCACCTTACCAGCTACACCTGCCTGTCTCTCCAGCTTATGTACCAGCCTCTTATGCGGTACTGTGTCAAAGGCTTTCCGACAATCCAAGAAAATGCAGTCCGCCCAGCCCTCTCTTTCTTGCTTAATCTGTGTCACCTGATCGTAGAATTCTATCAAGCCTGTAAGGCAAGATTTATTTGTGTGTTTTTTTTTGTGTGTGTGTGTGTGTGTGTGTGTGTGTGTGTGTGTGTGTGTGTGTGTGTGTGTGTGTGTGTGTGTGTGTGTGTGTGTGTGTGTGTGTGTGTATATGTGTGCTCTTAGATAAAAAAAACTTACACAAAGAAAACACACAAAAGGAACCCATATCCTTCAAAGGCCAACAGAATAACTTGGCTACTTCCTTACATTGACAGCTTCTCTAATTGGGATCATTGTATAAAGGTCATTAGCTGGTTCAGTGAACTTTTTTTACGGAGCTAAAAGCAATTTGGCCAACTGTCAGCATTAGGAAAATACAGACGACGTTTGAGACTCCTGTAACTGGAGGGTTTTATTGCGTTCTGAAGCATGAGAATTGCTTTCACAAAGCTCAAGGCGATGAAATTAGTTCCAAAACTTTACTAAAACAACAACACTTTAAACCAAATGTAGGTAATTAGTAGGTTAAAAGGTAAAACAACAAAAAATAAAAAAAAATTAGTTGTTCACCAACAGTGTGATATTTTGACAAACAAATTATTATATTCGAGATAGATATCAAAGTTATATAACCTAAAGTGAAGTTTATTGGTGGTTGTGGTTTGAGGCCTGACATGTGGATCCAGCATAGTGGTTATGTAGACACCAACATGGGGCTCATGTGGACCCAACATGGGGCTCATGTGGACCCAACCTGGCGCTCATCGTCAGGATAACTGAGTGATAAAGCTGTCCGCATACAACCAGTCATATGAGCTGATTTTTTTTGGGGGGGGTGGGGGTGGGGGTGGGTTCAAGGTTCACTGAGCTGTGAGTAGTTGCAGGTAGCACGCGCAGCCTATTGCAACACGGGCGCAGGATGGTTAGTGAGTCGTATGGGAGGCGAGTATGGTGGGTGAAGGCATAGAGACGGGTGATGGATGAAGGGCATAGTGACCCTTGCAATCCACAGCCTCCAGAACCAGTTGATATCCTTTGATGCTGGATCTTCCCCCCCCCCCCCCTACCCCTCCCCCCCCCCCCTGTCACCTACACCCCCAGCCGACGACCCCCCCCCCCCCCCCCCTCCTCCACCCCGCCCCATCACCACCACAAGACCGCGGTGTAATTATACACACTTTTCCACCGGTTTCTTTTGCGACGCAGATGAGAATGTGTTTCATCGCCCCCGCCGCGGTCCTATTTTAGCGAGTCCTGCCTCCTGGACCCCGACTCCCTTCCTGGCTATCAGCCGGGGAAAACTATCTGCCTCAGACCGTGTGTGGGTCTTGAAATAAAGACCAATTAAGCGCTCTACCCCTTTGCTTTTTTACCTGACCAAGTTTGTCCTCAAGTCGCGATGGAGAAGTCGAACCAGTAAACCATTTAACAATTTTTGGGGGGATTTAACATATTTTTCACTCCTTGTCCAGATATATTCCGTACATGGCGGCTCAGATATACGCACGGTTTTAAGTCTAAATATACCGATGAATAGTCAAGAAATAGCTTGAGTGAGTTGGCAAGGAGCTGGAGGAAGCGAGCGAGGAAGTTACTAGAGAGACATCTTCAAGGATATGTGTTTCTCCCCATCTTCAGTCCTCGCGTTAATTTTCCTTCTTAAAGTGACAGTGTTGAGGCGACGCGACATGACTCGCTCAGAAGACGAAGAACCTGGGATATCCCACCACAGACTCTCGGGGCCGGGATAAGAACAAGCCTGGGATATCCCACGTCAATCTCTCAGGGCCAGGACAAGAACAAACCTGAGATATTCCAACCAAACATGCGTGGCTCATACAAACCCGTGATTGGGACATCCCAAACACACACACCCGGCATTGAAATGTAGTATTCGTATCCCAGTCAAACTCCTGGCGATGACGCAGGGATATCCCAACCAGTCACTCATGGCACACAGACAACCCTGGGATATCCCAACCACACAGAGCACACAACCTGCATGATATGTACACAAAGCCCACATATATCATGCAGCAAGATAATGTGT